GCCTATAATCCCAGCTACTAGAGAAGCTGAGGCAGGAGAATCACTTGAACTAGGACGTGAAAGTTGCGATTTCACCATTGCACTCCAGCCTGGGTAACAAGAGCAAAACTCTGTCTCAAAAAAAAAACGGTGGTAAACTACAAGATGTCATGATGATGAATGTCAGGCTCTATGCTTGGGACCAACCATGAGACAAAGCTTACAAAGATTCACCCTAGCTCTGTCTACATTAATAAGAAATATGGTATTTGGAGCATCCAGATAGATACAGACCTGCTCTAATCTACATATCTAAAGGGTAAGTTGGTTCCTAGATCCCTTGCCTTAAAGAGTGGGGTGCTTCCCCTTGAGCAAAAAAGACTACAGAGTGGGCCGAGCACGGTGGCTCACGCCTGTAATCCCAGCACTTTGGGCGGCCAAGGTGGTTGGATTGTTTGATGTCAGGAGTTCAAGACCAGTCTCAAAAAAAAAAAAAAAGGCTGGAGTGGAAGAATGAACTGTCTTCAAAAATATGAAGAGCTTATACACATGAAAGAGATGAGAGATGTTCTGTGAGACTTAATGAAGCAAACTAAGAACCCCTAGTAGAAGCCACAGGAAGCCCAAAGCCCCCTTGGCACAAGGATAAATATGTCTGAAGACTGTCTCAGGAGATGGTAAGTTCCCCAGCGGGGGCGTGTGAGGTAATCACAGCTAATGTTTAAGGATACCTGTTCTATGCCAGCTGTTGTGCTGAATGGATTACAAAAGGTATGTTAAATAATGCATACCCTAGAAAGCAGTTCCTTGTCAAATGGGCCCATGTTTTAGGTAAGGAAACTGAAGCCCAGAGCGAGAGATAGTTTGCCAAAGCAGAGTCCAAAGCCTTTACATCATGGCTCTTCCTCAGCACAGGCTAGAGACCCACACCGGTGGGGATGCTCAGAAAGAGACTGTAGGATTAGAAGGAACCTGCACTATAGGCTTTGAAGGCCTTTCCCTGAGGATTAGTGATTCTGATTTTTCCTAAGACAGGATTCCAGGCTACCCTAATAGGTCAGACCCAGAGCCAGGCAGAGGCTGCGGTAACCAAAGAGAGGAGGCAGAATGATAGTCCAGCCCCACAGTAGCCTGCTCCTGTCCTTCTGGGACTCCCTGAAGTCTAGACCCTAGCACCTCCACTCAGCCTCACCCTCCTCGCTTCCTCTGCAGAGCTCTAGATTCTAGGAAAAGGAAATGGCCGGAGCTGGCAGTGAGGAGCTGTGACCACAGGGTGGCAGCAGTGCTTAAGCTGTGGAGGGCGACTTCTTAGGAAGGGCGATGAGGCGGGTCGGAAGCAGTATGCTCTAGTGAAGATGGTGGTCTGTCTGCAAAGATTTAAAGCCACGCCCATTCAGTGGGCTCCAAAACCCTTTAGCCTTCTTCTATATCCTAATTTTTTTTGAGATGGAGTTTCACTCTTTTTGCCCAGGTTGAAGTGCAGTGGTGCGATCTCGGGTGAGAAATTTTTTTTTTTTTTTGAGACAGAGTTTCACTCTGTTGCCAGGCGCTAGGCTGGAGTGCAGTGGCACAATCTCGGCTCACTGCAACCTCCGCCTCCCGGGTTCAAGCAATTCTCCTGCCTCAGCCTCCCGAGTAGCTGGGTCCACAGGCGCATGCCACTGCGCCCAGCTAGTTTTTGTATTTTTAGTAGAGATGGGGTTTCACCATGTTGGCCAGGATGGTCTCGATCTTTTTTCTTTTTTTCTTTTTCTTTTTTTTTGAGACGGAGTTTCACTCATGTTACCCAGGCTGGAGTGCAATGGCGCGATCTCGGCTCACTGCAACCTCCGCCTCCTGGGTTCAGGCAATTCTCCTGCCTCAGCCTCCTGAGTAGCTGGGATTACAGGCACACACCACCATGCCCAGCTAATTTTTTGTATTTTTAGTAGAGATGGGGTTTCACCATGTTGACCAGGATGGTCTCGATCTCTTGACCTCTTGATCCGCCCGCCTCGGCCTCCCAAAGTGCTGGGATTACAGGCTTGAGCCACCGCGCCCGGCCAAAAAAAATTTTTTTAACAAAATAAAAATAAGATACAGGCCAGGCACGGTGGCTCACACCTGTAATCCCAGCTACTTGGGAAGCTGAGGCAGGAGAATCACTTGAACCAGGGAAGCAAAAGTTGCAGTGAGCCAAGATCGCGCCACTGCACTCCAGCCTGGGCAAAAAGAGTGAAACTCCATCTCAGAAAGAAAAAAAAAAAAATTTAAATCCTCTGCACTATCATGAAGCCGAATATATCTTCTATCCACAGGAAAATCTGAGTAGCCCTCAAGAGGCACACAAGCAGAGGATGGGCTGTGTGGGCAGGCCTGTCAGCCCCAGACCGAGAGGACCAGGCCTGGTCATTCTGGACTCTGACCCTGGCTCTTCCCACACCTTTTCCACTCCAGGATAGCCTACTTAACCCCCTCCTGACATGAGTTTCTTTTTGGGGGGACAAGGGGGACGAAGTCTCACTCTGTCACCCAGGCTGGAGAGCAGTGGTGCGATCTCGGCTCACTGCAACCTCCATCTCCCTCCCAGATTCAAGCGATTCTCCTGCTTCAGCCTCTCGAGTAGCTGGGACAACAGGCATACACCACTATGCCCGGCTAATTTTTTATTTTTAGTGGAGATGGAGCCTCACCATGTTGGCCAGGCTGGTCTCAAATTCCGGCCCTCAGGTGATCCGCCTGCCTCAGCCAACCAAAGTGCTGAGATTACAGGCGTGAGCCACCGTGCCCAGCTGACATGAGTTTTTGTGCTTTAGTCTACCCGTTAGGAAAGAGGGGAAGTGATAAACTGAAGCTCTCCAAACTGTTGAGGGATTAGGGGTTCTTGTAAGGCCCCCCAGGGCCTGGCTCTGACAAAGCATCTGCAACTAATGATGCTTCTTGAGCTCTGGAGAAGAATTTATGCATCTAATAAAGTCTATCACTCCAGGCTTAGGGGCTGGGGGCAGGACGCTGACAGCAGGAAGTCCTGGGGGCACCGTGGGAAGGGATCCCAGGCGGCTCCTAATGAGCCCTGCATTTCCATTTGCCTGTTCTAGATTCCCCCTAAGGTGCTGTGAGGCTGGGGGTGGGGTGACAGCAGGTATAAGAGGCTGGGGTGGCTGTCGGAGGGTGGATGGCAGCATGGATTCTAGGCAGGCTGCTGTGCTGCTGGTGCTGCTGCTGTTAATAGATCCCAGCTATGCTGAAGGGCCAGGAGGCCGGCAGGAAGACCAGCTCTCCCAGGTAAGTGAGCATCCCATCCCCTTATCACCCATACCTTGTCGCCTCTACCTTGGTTGAGGCTTGTGCTCTAGGTTCTGATTCTTTCTCTGGTTGCCAAGGTTGTCATTAGGTCCTCACATCTGAGGAAATGGTTCTGCAGCCTCCTACCACTTGCCCCTGGAAGCCAGTCCCTTCCCCTTGTGACTTATGTGTCCAGGGTATTTGCCCATCTTCCTTCCCTGATAGCCCCTGGCACAGGAGGAAGACAGTGGACCCCACCTACCACAGGATGCCCAGAGCCCTGAGTCACTCTTGCGATCCCTGCTCCAGGCAATGGAGAGACCTGGCCGGAGCCAAGCCTTCCTGTTTCAGCCCCAGAGGTGAGGAGTCTGAAAGGGACACGAGCATGGCAGGGGCTGGGGGTAGAAAGGGCAGGGGACAGAGGAAGAGGAAAAGGGGGCTACAGAAGGAAGACTGAAGGGATCTGAGGACTAATCTCTCCTTTAAGATTTGGCAGAAATACCCGGGGATCCTGGAGCAATGAACGGCTGAGTCCTCGGGCTGGAGAGGGGCTGCATTCCCAGTTCTGGAGCCTGGCTGTCCCTCAACGCTTTGGGAAGAAGTGACGTCATCCCTTGATGTGTTTGCATGCAATGTCCACACCCAAAAGTGCCAATGTGTGCCCCCCAAATAAAGGTGTCTGATTTCTGAATCCATGTGTGTCTGTGACTTTAGAGGGCTGGGTGGAAGCCCAGGGGCTAGAGCCACTGCCCCTCCACCTCCACCAAACCCAGCCTCCAGCAAGGCAGCTGACAACAGTCCTGGAGGCGACTGCACCCAGCCTCTTCCCACCAGAAGGGAAAAACATGAGAATGGTTGGAAAAGGAGCTCAAGAAAGGCACACGAAAGTAGCGTGGTGACTTCCTCTGCCATTCATACAGCTCAGGGAAACAGAAGGGCTTAAAAATCCACAAAGCAGCACATTTATTCCAGGCTCTAGTAGACAGCCCCCTGATTTCATTCCCACTCAACATCACCAATAAAATGAGGGCAGATCCTGGGTTGGCTGTGGCCCTGTGGTCCTTGGCTCCTTGCCCTGTGCCTTCTCGCCTCAAGGCAGGCAGTCTGTGTCAGAGGTAGAGATGGCACCCACAGAGGGTACCAGAGCTGCGCAGATACGTGAGCCCAGAGGCAGGAATAGCAGGGAGCAAAGGGTGCACGTCCATGAGTCCAGCTGGGGCTTCACTTGCTACCCGCCATGATCTTGAGGTACTGCAGGGCACGGCGGGCAGCCTCTCCACGGGCTGCCTCCCTGGTGGTTGCAGAGCCATGACATACAGTGGCCGGCTGGGTGGACAGTTCCACCAGGCACTGGCAGAGTCCACTCAGGCTCAGCTCCTCTGGAGAGCAAGAGAGAGGAAGGAGGCAGTGTTGGGTGGGAGGCAGCCCTGGGGAGGGGTATGTTCATGTCATCGTCACCCCCTTCTGCTCGCTCCTGTCCAGCCCCCACCACCCCTGGCTTGCTCCCCAGCCAGCCATACCAATATCCAGGTAGCTGACATGGAAGGCCTGCTCCTCAGAGAGCTCAGTGAGGACACGGCAGCAGGCAGGGCCCAGGGCACCCAGGGAGCCCAAGGAGCAACTGCGGAGGGACAGGATCTTCTCTCCCACTGAATTTCGTAGAGAATCCCAGGTGCAGCCTGGGCCCCGGTTCCGAAGACCATCCAGGCGGGAGCCCACACCCTGACAAGATGGGAACAGTGAGAAAGATGAGGCAAGAGACGGTGGGACCCAGGCATTTAGACATTTGACGTCAAAGGGGAAAAAAGCACAAAGAATGCTTCCTCCAGCCTGCCTCCCCCAAGTCAATCCCTGCACGGCCCCTTCTAACTACCAGGCCCCGGGCCAGATGGCCAGGCATCCCTCCTCAACCCAGTAACAGAGCTACAGAGCGGGCCTACAGTCAAAGCTGAGTCGGCCCCAGGAACCCTGGGTCTGGTAGGAAAACTGGCAGAAGCAGGCCTAGGGCCCAGAGAGGCTCACTGCTGAGTCACAGACCCAAGTCCCTGGAGCCCTGCCCTGGCATGGAGGATGGGCCACTCACAATGGAGAAGTGGTCATCATCAGGCTCCACCTCATTGCCATCCCGGGCATCCAGAGGCACCGTATGCACTCGAAGCAGCATTTTGGCCGCCGCATTCCGCTTTGCCAACTTTTTGGAAGTGCCACTCCCTGCATGTGGAGAGAGGGCTGCTGGGTTCTGATTCCCCACAGACCCAGTGCTTCCACCCAGGTCATACTTGGATTGAAGGTCTCCCTAGAATGTCAACCGGAAATGGGAACCCAAGACTTGCCCATGCACCTGAGAACCTGGTCAGCTAGAGAGAAGGGGACAGACAGGGCGCCCAGAAACTAGAAGGAAGGGGCTGAGCCAGGGACTGTGAAGCAAAGAGAGCAAGGGCTGCACCAGAGTGAGGCTAGGAACGGCTTTGGGGCTGGGGCCAGAGTGCTGCGGGAGAGGAGCTGCGAGAACCCCAGTTACCAATCTCAATGAAACGCTCCACTCGGCAGGTCATGGTGAATTCTTTGCGGTGGGCTGGCCCGGACTCCTGGGTCACTGTGTACTCTGGCAACCGCCAGCCTTTCTGCACCACCAGCTCCTTGGAAGGGAGACACAAGGTGCATGAGGCTGAGTGAAAAAACGCTTCTCACACCCACGCTGGTCCCCAAGCAGGAGCCTCAGACTCTAGGTGAGAGGAAGGAGAGAGGTGGGTGGAAAGGGCCTCAGTACCGGGAACCGCCCCCGCCCCCAACCACATACCACCTTCCCTCATGGCCTCTGGCCCAAGGGAAGACAGGCATGCACGGGAAATGAGGATGGGGCACACCTGTAGAGCACCAACGGGGTTGCATTCAGACTGCTGAGGGGAGACGGGGGGCTGCATTTCCATGGGGGGGCTCCTGAAGGAAAAAGGGTGCAGGGCCAAAGTTGAGCTGAATGGTTCCATCCGAGCCTGCCCATGAGCTTCAAGCCTAACCACTGCTTTAGATTCCTGACTACCATCTCCCAATTCCCACCCGGCAGGCAGCTGTCTGTCCACACGTCTAGCCTGCTCCTTCCTGCTCTAGCCGGCTTCCTTCCCCCTCCCACTCAAGGAAGGCCTTCTCCAGGCCCCAGCCCATTTCCATTCTGGAACACGGGTATCCTCTACGCCAGGGCAGTGGGAGAAGGGCTGTACTTCCAGTCCCAGAAGTGCCTGATGGGTCTCAAACACAGAACTGACATGCGGTCAACCCAGAAGACAATGGAGCTACAAGCCCCTTAAACATGGTGGAACATCATCCATAAGGCTATTTGAAAATCACAAATGACCTCCTGTCCCAAGAGCTTACCAGCAGGTGTGATTTCTTCAAGTTCTGGTTCCCACCTATTCCATTCTGTTTATTCTCAGACTTCCTCATGCCTGACCAGCCTGGGTCCAAGGACTGAGGGGCCAGAAACCAGAATCCCTTCCTCCACCCCACTCAGACAATCAGGGGACACAAAATACCTGGTTAGGACAACAGATGGAACCGGGGTAGCAGCTGCTGCAGCAGTAAAAACCGGAACGTCCTCAGGCAGTGAAGAGTCTAGGGGAGAAAAAGAACTTCCCGAGGGGAAGGGGGCCTTTGATTCACACCCATGTATAGTGGGAAGAGAGGGGTAAGGGACCCAGGTCTTCCTGACCTGCCCATCCCCTAAGAGAACTTCCAAATTGAGCCAAAGGATCAGGGAGGCTCAACCAACAGCTTCCTTCTGGGATCCTGTGCTGCCAAACACTGGCAAAAAGACCGAGAAAAGAGGGTCTCAGAGAAGAGGGTCTCTTTGTACCCAAAAACCAAGAAGCAACAAACTCCGAGCTGCATGTGGAGGAAGGACATCTTGCTAGAACAAGGAGGCATGGTGGGAAGCAACTCCCATAAGCTCAGCCTCTACCCCTCTCCCTCCCTAACCCAGGCCCCAAACTACTGCCACAACCCCTCTGTGGGGCTAACGAACCCCTCCACCCCAAGAATTCTTCATAGCAGCAGAGGCCCTGGAAGACCCTGTTCAGGTCCAGAGGGGCTCTTAGGAAGAGGCCAGGTCAGGGTGGCTAAGTGTCACCAGGCCAGGCCTGGGGGCAGAGGGGGTGGTGCAGGGCCTGGGTTCCTCGAAGGGCTTCTGGGATGCCTCGGTTCCTCCCTCACCTGCTGTCCTCCAGGGCCGGCTCCAGCATGCTCCCCCCTTTGAGGTGTTTGAGGGCCACCTCAGCTGCCTTGTGCTTGGCTGCCTTCTTGCTGGGGCCCTGACCTGAGAGAGGGGGCATGGGCAATACTGGAGGTCACTGGAAGGACAGGAGAGAAACCAGCATCCCACAGTCTCTCTCTCAGCCAGAGGGAATCAATCAAGCCCCCTCTGACCAACCTCCCCCTGCTGAAGACTGGAAGTGTTTCACTAATTGCTGGAAGGAAGAGCCCTTATCTTTCCATTAGCTTCCAGAATTAAGCCATGCCAAGCAGGACTTCTGAGTTCAAAGGCCTTAGGTGGACTGCTGAGCTCAAATGCCTTAACTTCCTTCGCAAAGTACTTTCTTTTCCCTTAATAAATAGCTGGAAAAAGAGAAGGTAGGCTCTGGAGTGAAAGCCCCACGTGACCATGCACCAGCCATTTACTCTCACAAATACTCAGTTTCCTCATGTTCAACCTGGGCGGGCGGGATGGGGGGGGATACTCCACCTACATCACTGGTTAGACTGAGGTTTAAAATTAAATGGGAATTTGGTTAAGCCCCTGGAACAGAGCCCAGCACGCCAGGGACTCACTCCCCCAAATGTTCCACTGGGATTTCAGTTGTCTTCTCTTACTTTTCCTCTAGGGTGATGAGGATCCGCCAGATCACTGTGGCAGTCCTGCTCGCTCCTCTAACTCTCCCACGTCCTACCCACCTTCTCACAACCCTGTTCTCCCAATCCAGTCAGTGGCTTTTCCCCTGAAAGCTCTCCTTCCCTCACTGGCCTTGAAGAGGACTGTGAAGACAGAGACTCCAAGAAACAAAGCCATGGGGACCTGCGAATGCGCACCCCAGCCAGGCTGCCCAAGCCTTCCTCACCAGTGCAGCTGGTGTCGCCAACGGTGACCCGGAAGGTGAAATTAGGCTGGTGGGCTTGGCCCTCGGCTTTGAGAAGGTCGTACACAGGCGTCTTCCCTATTCTGGTCCCATACTCCTGCAGAAGGCTGATCGGGGTCTTGCCTGGGTTGGCGGCCAGCATTTGCTCTATACTGGGGGAAGGGGCACAAACCCACATCACACCTCCCCTCTCTGCACCCACCTGGCCAAGCACTGCCATACCAGACCTAGGCACATTATGGGGGACATAGGGTCCAGGGGAACCCCAAGCAGTCTAGCATCCATTGGCTGGGTTCCAAGTGGAGGTGCAGGCTGGAAAAGTAGGGTCCACTACCCTAAAGCAAGGGGGGAAGAATGCACTGCTCCTGCCTCAGTTAAGGTAGGCACGTTTCTGTGCCCCAGTGCAGGTTGAAAACGCATACCCCCTGACATAGTGCAAGCCAGGAACCCAGTACCCACCAAATGCACTGAATGTGGGGGCATAAAGCCCAGTGTTCCAGTGCAGTCTGGGAACCGGGCCAACCCCAAACTATTTAGAGCTGGAGGCAGCAGCCACTGCCCCGGTGCACGCCGGGAACCACTGCCCACTGCCCCAGTGCTTGCCGGGAACAACCCTCAGGCCAGGTGCATGCTGGGGCCGCGCTGCTACCCCCTCCGCACGGCCCCACGCTTTTCGCCCTGAAGGGATCGGTACGAGGCGGCTCACCTAGGCAGCGCGCAGCCCGTGGTAGTGCCGGAGCGTTGCTCCTCTTCACTCATTCCCTCCTCCGTCCCCGCGGGCGCCACCGTGACTGCAGCCTCCACGCGCCCCAATACACCGCCGACAAGCTAGGGCCGGGGCCAAGCCCGGAGTCGCGGCCGGTAGGGCCCGCCGCGGGGCACGCTGGGATATGGAGTCCCCCGCCCACCCTACTTTATGAGCCTCCATCTGGAGGGGAGCTATCCGCCCCACAACCCTCCGCGTGGCTGGCCCGGGCAGGTTGCGCCGCCTTCTGGGAGGGGCGGGCCCTTCGCCGTAGCTTCCCGAGAAGGCTGTATTTTTTTGTTTGTAATATCGTCCCGCCTCCTTCCTTCAGCGCCCCTGGTCTCCCGGGCAGTGAGGCTGTGGACATGCGTACTAGCGTAGTGGAAGCCAGGGGACGGTAAGGACTCACTCCGGCACGGGGCCTTTTGGATTCCAAGAAAACTACAGAACCCAGAGGCCTGCGCGCCATCTTTGTCGCAGCTGGAGGGGCAGGGTCAAGCACGCACGAGAAGCTTAGCGGCGTCATTGGTTACTCCCGTTGCGTTTACTTTCTCTAGGCGCACTGAGATTGGTTACTTCGACTAAACGGGCGGGGACAAGAAAGAGTCAGCCCCCTGACCCCGCCTCCTTGTTAAAGGAAGGTTGTGATTGGTCTGGGGAGCCAGCCTTCGGATCCCGGCTCATTGCGGGCAGGGTGGGCCTTACCCAGACACCGGAGGGGACCGATCTCTGCATCCGCAGGGCGCTGGAGCTGGTGCAGGTCCAAGTCCACCTCAGACAGTCCCCTCAACCCTCAGCCTAACCCCTGGCTGCTGCGCCTCCGTAACGCAGAACTTGTTTCCTTTTTCTAGGTTGTCCTTCACCTCCCTTCAGGTTTTGCTGCTTTTGTAAGCCTTATTAGAACGGCTCTAGTGAACCTCACTTACACTGGCCAGGAAACCTCTGGGTCCTGAAAATCAGGTTATAGTGGGACGACAGGATTAGAAGGACTAGGCACCTGGTGGTCTCGTTACCTCTGCCGTGAGTCTTGGGTCTTTCAGCTGAAGAAAGCAGGAGTGAATTTTGGCTGCATAAGACTAATCAACTGATCTGGGTGTACACGAGCAGATAGATGCTCATTTCTTAGTCCTAGAGCCCCATTGCCTCCTCCCCGAAAGTCGCACAACCACTGGGCTAAGAGAAATCTTGTGACCTTGGAGAGAGAGAGAGAGAGATCACATTAAAAAAAAAAAAAAAAAAAGGTTCTAATGAGTCTTCTGAGAACGGGTCAAGAAAGAGATGTCTACTCAGAGCCGGGGTTGTATTGGAGATCCAGAGGAATTTTGGAATGATAATGAGGGGTCATCCAGGAACAGTGGAGGAGGATGGGGCCTAGAGCTGAGTGAATTCCAAGTGGGTGAAATTGGAGTGAGCGGTGACAATCAAGGGAAGGAGAGCTGGCAAGATCAGTATGATAGGAGGAGCAATGCCAGGGTGCTAGGGATCCCATGTGAGGGGCTGCTCTCTCCGGTGTAGAAAGGAGTCTATACGACGGGTCATAGAGGGTTCCTGCGGAATCAGCCTAAGGCCCGAGGTGGGACCTCCATAGGGCACCGCCAGCAGGGAAGCGCGGGGCCCAGGCGTGCCAGGGACGTGCCTGGAGCGCGCCGGATGGCAACAGCGGGCTCCTTTAAGAGGCCGGCGGCTCCATCGCAGCATCCCCCGCTCAGGGCGTGTCCGTCCCGGGGGGCCAGGGGCGGGGGCCCTGGAAGGAGCGGGAGTTCAAGCCGAGCTGGGACGAGGCTAGAGGTCGGGGGGGTGGGGGCAGAAAGCTGGGGCTGACACCCGTGCATCCGGACTCCGCACGAGCATCGCCTGTGACAGCGCCCCGGGTCCGGTGGAGGGCAGCGGGGGGAGGAGGGAAGGAGGAGGAGAAGGAGGAGGAGGCGGGAGCAGCATCCGGAGCTGAGCTGCAGCAGCGCCGCCTTTTGTGCTGCGGCCGCGGAGCCCCCGAGGTGAGAGCCTGGCCGAGTTGTCGGGGGGTGGGGGGCAGGGATGGGTCCGGGTCCTGGGATCCGGGCGTGGAGGGAGGGTCGGGATGCAGATGTGGCCTGGTGCGGGGTGGTGGCGTGAGGATGCTGAAGCTGTGTAGATGGAGGGACTGGGGACCTGGACCCGACGCCTGTGGGGCTGGGAAGGAAGGGAATGGAGCTGAGGGATGCCGCGGCCCAGCTAGGAGACGAAGGGCCTCCAGAGCTGGAAAGGACCGTATTGGGGTGGTGTGGAGGGTGACTGGGGGACAGACGTAAAAGACAGAGGGCAAGAGAACATCTCCTCCCACTCATCCTTAGGAAGGGAGAGAGGGAAGGAGGAGGGAGAGTTTTGGCCCCCTCCAGGGAAGGAAAGGAAGGGCAAGGACTGATGTACCCACCATCTCCCTCCACACACACTTAGCAGGCTGGACCTCAAGATTAGTCAGAGAGCACCTGTTCCTGGATGCCCAGGCGCTGGTCCCCCTCCCCTTCCAGCTGTGATCCTCTTAATCCCCTCCAGCTGTGGCATTCACCTCCATCCAGCTGTTGCATCCTCCCTTCCCCCATTCACGTGTGGGTTTCTCCCTCTTCTTTCTCTCCATCTCCTCTGGCTCCCCTAACCCATCTCCCCCAGTCAGGCCCTCCAAAAACCTCCTCCCTTTCCCACAAACACTCCTCAAACTCATTGGCTTAAAAATAAGCAAGAGTTGAGACTTGCTGGTAACCAAGGCCTTGACTAAGAGGAGGGAAGAGTCAAGGCTCTGTAGACAGTGGGAGGAAATAGTGAGAAGTCCCTTAGAGTTAAGGGAGGAGTCCTACCTTGTAGATGCCTCATGTGCTGCCTTTTTCAGAGGAGCATAGGTGAGTGGCCTCCAATCAGGAGGGAATGCACATGAGGTCTCCTCACCCCACCCAGAGTCGTCTCAAGCCACAGTCAGTGTATCCCTCTAAACACAGTTCTCAGGGTGGACTCCATTGTTCTAGGAGCTCTGAGTTTCAGCCAGAGGGTCATACCAAGTTAAAGCTAGCAGAAAGGATTTAGGAAGGAAAGGACACAAGTGCCCCCTGAGCCTTCCTGTTGACACTGAAGTTTCTCTGAGCTTTAGGGCCCCGCTCCCTCCTATCTCACACAGGTTAAAAAAAAAAAAAAAAGTGTGTCCCCTCAAGTATACCATTCATCCACTCACTTCCATTGTCAACTGAGGTAATTTTGGGAAAACCCCAGCTATAACACAGAGACATCAGCTAAATGTCCATCCCTAATGAAATCCAGTTATGGACCAAGGAGGCAAGAAGTTAGACATGGCTCAGGATTTCCTAGGTTTCCTTATTTAGGAAACCTAGGAAAGGAACCCTTTTAAAAACAAATTGCTGTTCCCCAGGCCTTCCCCTGGTGATGACAATGTGGTAAGATCCGGCTTTGCTAGGAAGAGGACCCTCGGTTCTACCACTCATGGTCCAGACTGTCATCATGCACAGTCCTCCCCCTCCCCTGCCTGAATCTGAATATAAAGAAGGAATTAGAGAATCAGCCCTATAAGAAGTCCTTACTAGGGTGGGCTGGAGATCACCCCTATATTCAGGTCCTCAGCTGTGTACCAGTCAAGCCCTGGGATCCCCCAGCTGCCATGCTTCTTCCAGGGAGGTGAAAATGTCTGTCCCCTCACACCCACCGCTCACCCATTCACTCACACTGTTGACTGAGGTGATGCTGGGAAGAAGGAGGATACTGTTGAGATGATGCTAGCAGGAGACAGAGGGGCTTCATGAGGGCCTGGCCACACCGACTAGTCTGTCCGGTTCATTGGCTCCCAGAAGGACTGGGGTCATATGTGTGTGTGGGGAAGGTGAGGAGATTGTGACAGTGACCAGATTCCAGAGGAGGCTAAAGATCCTTCAGGATAGAGCCCTTGCCCTTTGGTTTCTTCATTCTTCGGTCTTTTTTCCCTCTTGTTTCTCCACCTCCCTTTCCACCTGTACCCTCCCTACTGGCACTTGCTTTGAGAAAGAGAACAAGGAAAAGAAAGGAAGGGAATCACATTCATAAAAGACTTACAACTGTGTGTAAGGTACTTTCCATATGTCTAATGCTTATAGAGAGCTTCCTGTGTGCCAGGTTCCTGGCCAAGAACTTTATTTTGATTGTCTTAATAATGACCTTAACAAGACCGAGGAGATAGTGTTATCATCATATCTGATGGAGGAGGAAACTGAAACTTAAGTAATTTGTTCCAAGTAAAAAAGTTAATATGTGGCAAGAGGTAGGATTTGAACCCAGGTCTGTGTGACCCAGAACCACCTGTGTTCTTTTTTTTTTTTTTTTTCTAAGGTGGAGTTTCACCATGTTGGTCAGGCTGGTCTTGAACTCCCGACCTCAGGTGATCCGCCTGCCTTGGCCTCCAAAGTGCTTGGATTACATGTGTGAGCCACTATGCCTGGCCAGAACCTGTGTTCTTACCACCACATTAGATACTGCATTGGCACTGTGTGACATAGGTATCACTGTCCCCATTTAGCAATGAAGAAACTGGAAGAATAAATATCAAAGTATAACAACAGTTTCTAGTTAAGAAGTCTCAGGCCAGGTCACCCAACTGGCCAGAAGCAGAGAGACAAGTCCTCAGCAAGCCACTCTGATTTTGAGGCCTGTGTTCTCTCCTCCACCACCTGCCCTCTCCCTACAGCACAACTAATAAGCTAAGTGACAGGAATGCATAAGCAGTCCATCAATCTTATTTTCTTTTACACTTTAAATTTTATATGTTACATTAAAAGCAATTCAAAGTTGTTACTGAAATTCTAAGAATATAGGTAAACCTAAAGGAGAAAATTAAAACACCCATCATTCCACCTAACTAGAAACTGTTGTTATACTTTGATATTTATTCTTCCAGATTTTCATTTTATTTATTTATTTATTTTGAGATGGAGTTTTGCTCTTGTTGCCCAGGCTGGAGTGCAGTGGCACAAGTTGGCCCACTGCAACCTTCACCTTCCGGTTTCAAGTGATTCTCCTGCCTCAGCCTCCTGAGTAGCTGGGACTACAGGTGTGCACCACCATGCCCGGCTAATTTTTGTATTTATAGTAGAGATGGAGTTTCACCATGTTGTCCAGGCTGGTCTCAAAATCTTGACCTCATGATCCACCCACCTTGGCCTCCCAAAGTGCTGGGATTACAGGCATGAGCCACCACGCTCAGCCCCAGATTTTTAAAAATGCCCATCCAGCTGAGGAACTATTTGTTAACATCTGCTGAACTTCTCCCAGTTCCATCTGAGGACCTAGGTAGGAGGGACTCCTGTGATCCATCCTGCCCTGCTCTTGCCCTTCCCTTCCCCAAGGCCTCTGTGGGTAAGGCTGAGGGGTGATCCAGGGCCACATGATGAAAGGGAGGATCTGAGCAGTGTAGCTGCTTAAGAGAGCAGATTCCAGAGATAACTGGCCAGGGAGTGA